TACCCGGGCAGCCTGCGGCAGTGCGGGGACCGCCCGTGCCTCCTCGCACAAAGCCAAGTTCTGCAGCTCCCGGCGTTCAAAAACTGGGAGAGGAGAGTAATATTCACCGACCGCCCGGAGCGGCGATCCGGTGGCATTTCATTCGCAAGGGGAATTTATTTTCCTTTGAGCATTACAGAATTACTGCAGGAAATCAACAGCATTTCATAGTTTTTGCAGATCCGGAGTAGCTTAATGAGATAACCTGCAAAAATACAACTGACCGTGAGCTAGAAAACATCCTCCGTTCTTTCTCTGATAGTTTACCTTCTGTTTCAGGGGTGACTGGACTGAGAACAGAACTCTGCTGAGATCCCTTCTCCTGTGATGTGTTCCTGCCGCTGCCGAGAATTAAACGCACGGCATAAAGCAGTACAGAGACTGATACTATTCTTCCTGCAACCAGTCTTCATTACATTTTTCTAGAGCTAAGGTCATTAACTATCAGCAAATTCTACAATGCTGTAGAGTTTGAACATTGCCTTTTCACTGCCATAAATTCCCATTAGACAGATTTACGCTATGCACTGTTTGAAAACCTTCTGCAATCCCCAAATTTAACCTGCTTCCATAGAATTATAACCATCAAAGCTGCTTAAATGAAATATCAAAGAATAAATTTCACCAAAAGAAAAGGCCTCTACTAGAAAGCCAGAAGGCTGATCAGAAAGACCCAGCAGGACAGACTTCACTACTCGTGTAAATATGGGCAAACCTGTGAAGGCATAGGGAGGTGTGCACCCCTTCTCGAGCCGATGACGAGCCTGGATGGTTAACCTTTGGGCCAGGTCAGACCTCCTGGATTTTTACGTCAAAGAAAAAGAAAACAAAATTACTGCTTTTCCAAAGGAGCTTTCACGTCTTTCAGTGTATTTCACTTCCAGATGCTCTGTAGTCAGGAAAACATTTCAAATACATGAAAGGAATCCAATACGGGAAAGTAATCAGAACACAAATATAAGGAACATTTAAACTAACCTTCTGTACCAGAACGCGATCAGGCAGTGCTTCAGACTGACAGAAGTTATGCAAATTGGTTCTCTGTATTAGCGCAACATGCAGCTTGGGGAAAGAAAATCTGTTAGAAACACAATTCAAATTCCCATGCTGACAGCAAAATTACAATTTGTGGCTTACTGTTCCCTTTAACTGTAGTTATGGGGGAAAAAAAGCCCCCCCTTGTATCTCCAATACAGAAGAACTTTAAGGTACAGAGTGTGGCTTTCCAGAAGCCACCTGGTCTTAAAAAAAAAATCCCCAAACGGTAATCCTTCAAGTTTCACCCGGTGTGTCTTCACTGAAATCAGCTGGTGTCAAACTGGAGTTACACCCTGACATCAAGTTCAGTTTCATCAAAATGTGAACATAACCACACCAAGTAAGCATTTGGTTTCCCTTTTTTCGGCCTTTTATCTCAGTGTCTATCAACGACTATGTTACTTGAAAGCGGCGTGACTAAAATTCGGGGGGTTGCACTAATTCCACCGAGCCTGCGGAGCTGCTATGTAAGCGACGCCTGTACGGTGATTAGAGCGGGCCCACCAGCGCGGCCCGCGGCCCGGCGCAGGCAGGGACCCCGTCAGGCGGCCCGGGGCGGGCTTCCCCGCCGCCGCCGGGGGCTG